AAGCTATTAACATACATTCGTTATCATATTTTTTGCATTAAAACGAGTCCCATATAAGTGTTAACATTTAAAAAAAAGCATCCTGTATGTAAGCAGGCACACAAGTGTAGTGTGCTAATTCACAGACACTAGTAGGAGGCTCTCTCTCTCTGTTATTCTGGCCTTCACAGCCTTAGGGGTTAACCACATACCGGGTCAGGACAGTCAACATGCTGCCAGACCCACAGCTTGAAGAGGGCCAAGATCACGACGCCGACGACGGCGACAGCACCACGAGTTCCACTCCAGATCGCAGCCGCTCCGCAGTCGGAGCGCGCCTCATATCCTGCCCAGCGTGGCCAGGCTCCGCCCTCGGCCCCGCACGCCTCTGGACCCCCCAGAGGGCTCCGTGTCTTGCCCGCAGGTCCAGCTGGTGACACGGGCCGCTACCCCGAATTCTATTGTCGACCAATCTCCCAGCAGCACGCGCTACAGTGACTCATTCGATGTCACTACACAAGTGTAAATGGATGCACCGCAGGTCGTCAATTGTCAGGTCGCATGCGGTAGGGTAAAGTGTGGGTACTTTCACCTCTTCCGAAACGTCTAACCAGTGTGAAAGAGTAGACCAAAATACCCTCTCAAGGGGCTCTCCAGAGCTCCCTCTCGTGGAGTCCCTTCTGCCAGTATTGGCGTGAGCAGGACATTGCAGGGCTGCGCCTTTACCTTTTACCGTATATACATTGTACACCTACACGTACACTATCCACAAAGCCAGCGTCACACGACAGCATTCACAGCGGCCTACTCTTGTGACTGGTGTCACTGCGATGTCTTATAACTCTGTTATAATCTAACAAATAATGGATTCTCTGTATTGTAAGATTCACTTTTTCTCCCTGTAGTTTAAAGCAAACGTTGTAGGTGCGTCTGATAATCCGGTAGGCACGTGCGTGTGTGAGATTAGATTTGCATAACGTTATTGAGACCAGTCATATGTTTGGGGTGCGTCTTACTTTCCGAAGCGTCTTATGATCTGGAGATACGGCAGCTCTACGTGGTATGGTGGAAAATGTAATATTCAACCAATAACTTTTGTAACCAGTAACAAAAAAGAGTAACTGTGTCGTTGTGGAGATTATAGGTAACCACACAATACGCCTTTCTTCACATGCGTGGATTTCCACGGAAACATTCAACACCTTTTTTTTTACACAAGCATGAACTCTGGACCGGTTTCAAGAAACCTCGCCTCATCAGCAGGGTCAGGCTTGCGTGAGCAAGCACATATTGGTGAAGTGCCAGACGTGAAGAAACCAAGCCAACCCTCGGGTGGGCAGCTACAGACGACAAGCAAACAACACATCCGTGTGGTCTTCAAGGGAAACGTCTATTGGGCGACGTTTCGGGCAATGGCCCTTCTTGATAGCACAATGCATGTGTTGAGTGGCTGTTGTCGATGTAATCAGTGCTCGTTACCTTGGTGTTCTGATTCCAGGGAATCAATTCGGAGTATTTTTTTTTATATCGACCCGAGCTCACGGAATGCATCGATAATTTCCGTTTCATTATGAAATATGCACGTTCAGTGCCACAGCCGGCAAGAATTAGTATTGCTAGTATTATGGACAGCGGAAAGACCTTAACATTCGTATAATTTTGCTGTTAAGGAGACAAGTATAATTCTTTATGTTTTATTGACCATGAACGTAATATCATCATCATCATCATCTCTTGCAGCATTCATCAACCATGCTGAGTGGCTCCACGGTAGACGTAGAGCCATCGGCTCTCAATCAAAGAGTTGCGATTTAAAACATTTTGGCCACTGACAAATGCACGAGATGAAAGGTGACTGGAGGCGTGTGTCACAGCACCGTCTGCACACTCTCGCATCGAAGTCACTGCACCACCTCCGTGCTAGCTACACGTGCTGCTAGCTACACGTGGTGCTAGCTACACGTGGTGCTAGCTACAAGTGGTGCTAGCTACACGTGGTGCTAGCTACACGTGTGTGCTAGCTACACGTGCTGCTAGCTACACGTGGTGCTAGCTACACGTGGTGCTGCTAGCTACACGTGGTGCTGCTAGCTACACGTGCTGCTAGCTACACGTGCTGCTAGCTACACGTGGTGCTGCTAGCTACACGTTGTGCTGCTAGCTACACGTTGTGCTGCTAGCTACACGTGCTGCTAGCTACACGTGGTGTTGCTAGCTACACGTGGTGCTAGCTACACGTTGTGCTGCTAGCTACACGTTGTGCTGCTAGCTACACGTTGTGCTAGTAGCTACACGTGGTGCTAGCTACACGTGGTGCTAGCTACACGTGGTGCTAGCTACACGTTGTGCTGCTAGCTACACGTGGTGCTAGCTACGCGTTGTGCTGCTAGCTACACGTTGTGCTAGTAGCTACACGTGGTGCTAGCTACACGTGGTGCTAGCTACACGTGGTGCTAGCTACACGTGGTGCTAGCTACACGTGGTGCTAGCTACACGTTGTGCTGCTAGCTACACGGTGTGCTGCTAGCTACACATGGTGCTAGCTACGCGTTGTGCTGCTAGCTACACGTTGTGCTAGTAGCTACACGTGGTGCTGCTAGCTACACGTGGTGCTAGCTACACGTGGTGCTAGCTACACGTGGTGCTAGCTACACGTGTTGCTAGCTACACGTGGTGCTAGCTACACGTGGTGCTAGCTACACGTGGTGCTAGCTACACGTTGTGCTGCTAGCTACACGGTGTGCTAGCTACACGTGGTGCTAGCTACACGTTGTGCTGCTAGCTACACGTGGTGCTAGCTACACCTTGTGCTGCTAGCTACACCTTGTGCTGCTAGCTACACGTTGTGCTAGCTACACGTGGTGCTAGCTACACGTGGTGCTGCTAGCTACACGTTGTTCTGCTAGTTACACGGTGTGCTAGATACACGTTGTGCTGCTAGCTACACGTTGTGCTACTAGCTACACGTGGTGCTAGCTACACGTTGTGATGCTAGCTACACGATGTGGTGCTAGCTACACGTGGTGCTAGCTACGCGTTGTGCTGCTAGCTACACGTTGTGCTAGTAGCTACACGTGGTGCTAGCTACACGTGGTGCTAGCTACACGTTGTGCTGCTAGCTACACGGTGTGCTGCTAGCTACACGTGGTGCTAGCTACGCGTTGTGCTGCTAGCTACACGTTGTGCTAGTAGCTACACGTGGTGCTGCTAGCTACACGTGGTGCTAGCTACACGTGGTGCTAGCTACACGTGGTGCTAGCTACACGTGGTGCTAGCTACACGTGGTGCTAGCTACACGTGGTGCTAGCTACACGTTGTGCTGCTAGCTACACGGTGTGCTAGCTACACGTTGTGCTGCTAGCTACACGTGGTGCTAGCTACACCTTGTGCTGCTAGCTACACGTTGTGCTAGCTACACGTGGTGCTAGCTACACGTGGTGCTGCTAGCTACACGTTGTGCTGCTAGCTACACGGTGTGCTAGATACACGTTGTTCTGCTAGCTACACGTTGTGCTGCTAGCTACACGTGGTGCTAGCTACACGTTGTGATGCAAGCTACACGATGTGATGCTAGCTACACGTGGTGCTGCTAACTACACGTTGTGCTGCTAGCTACACGTGGTGCTAGCTACACGTGGTGCTGCTAGCTACACGTTGTGCTGCTAGCTACACGTTGTGCTGCTAGCTACACGTGGTGCTGCTAGCTACACGTGGTGCTAGCTACACGTTGTGCTGCTAGCTACATGTGGTGCTGCTAGCTACACGTGGTGCTGCTAGCTACACGTGGTGCTAGCTACACGTGGTGCTGCTAGCTACACGTGGTGCTGCTAGCTACACGTGGTGCTAGCTACACGTTGTGCTGCTAGCTACACGTTGTGCTGCTAGCTACACGTGGTGCTAGCTACACGTTGTGCTGCTAGCTACACGTGGTGCTGCTAGCTACACGTGGTGCTAGCTACACGTTGTGCTGCTAGCTACACGTGGTGCTGCTAGCTACACGTGGTGCTGCTAGCTACACGTGGTGCTAGCTACACGTTGTGCTGCTAGCTACACGTTGTGCTGCTAGCTACACGTGGTGGTGCGCCCACACACGGAATCGAGGGTGCTCGGCTCTGTGTGTGGCCCTGATCTTTGTGGCTCTGCTATGTGTGGTTCTGCTCCCTGTGGCTCTTGTCTCTGTGTGTGGCTCTGCTCTGTGTGTGGCTCTGTTCTGTGTGTGTGTGGTTCTGCTCTTTGTGTGTGTGTGGCTCTGTTCTGTGTGTGTGTGTGGTTCTACTCTGTGTGTGTGGCTCTACTCTGTGTGTGTTGCTCTGTTCTGTGTGTGTGGCTCTACTCTGTGTGTGTGAGGCTCTACTCTGTGTGTGTGTGGCTCTACTCTCTGTGTGTGAGGCTCTACTTTGTGTGTGTGAGGCTCTACTCTGTGTGTGTGTGTGGCTCTGTTCTGTGTGTGTGTGGCTCTACTCTGTGTGTGTGTGGTTCTGTTCTGTGTGTGTGTGGTTCTGCTCTGTGTGTGTGCGGTTCTGCTCCGTGTGTGCGGCTTTGCACTGTGTGTGGTTCTACTCTGTGTGTGTGGTTCTGCTCTGTGCGTGGTTCTGCTCTGTGTGTGGTTCTACTCTGTGTGTGTGTGGTTCTGCTCTGTGTGTGGTTCTGCTCTGTGTGTGAGGCTCTACTGTGTGTGTGTGGTTCTGCTTTGTGTGTGGTTCTACTCTGTGTGTGTGTGGCTCTACTCTGTGTGTGTGTGGCTCTACTCTGTGTGTGTGAGGCTCTACTCTGTGTGTGTGAGGCTCTACTCTGTGTGTGTGGTTCTGCTTTGTGTGTGGCTCTACTCTGTGTGTGTGAGGCTCTACTCTGTGTGTGAGGCTCTACTCTGTGTGTGTGAGGCTCTACTCTGTGTGTGTGAGGCTCTACTCTGTGTGTGTGTGTGGCTCTACTCTGTGTGTGTGTGGTTCTGCTCTGTGTGAGGTTCTGCTCTGTGCGTGGTTCTGCTCTGTGTGTGCGGCTCTGCTCCGCTGTGTGTGTGTGGGGGGGGGGTCACTGCAAGTCTCGCAATTGGCTGATGAGATATGCCGTGTGCGGGGAGTCGAGGCCGGCCCAGCTGATGGAGCGTCCAGTACCGCCCACACACGCCCCGTGCTCTGCGACACTCACAGGGACAGCACGAGCAGCAGCATCGCTTCACCTCTCCTCTGTGCATCGCTTCCTCTCTGGAGCTTTCCGCTATCTATGCCCTCTCCGTGTGTGCGTGTTCGCCTGATCATCTCTGGCACTCTGCTGCCACTCCGCGTAGCCTGTGCGCGTGTGCTCGTGTGTATCGGATCATTTTAAAGACATGCATTTAAAGTGTTGCGTGCAACACTGGAATTTAGCTCCTCCGTTGTGTTTTTCGGGTTGTACTTCCCGCGTGTTTGTTCGGGACGACGTTTCACTCCACCTAATGGGGAGCTGCTTGCCCGTAACGCTTGAGTCAACCGGGTGACTAAAAAACAAAACCACTGAGAACGTGTTTATGCAGTATACACACATATATACTGTCGGTGTGCAAAGGAAAGCAAAATTGTGAAGGAAAAAATGGGAACGACTGAACGAATTCTCCGGGACTTCTGCCAGCGGTGACACTAATAGTCGCCAGACATACACACGTGCGTTTGTGTATGAACGGTGTATTCATTCATTCATGTATCTATATGATTTATATACGTACCGCAAGACTCGCAAGACTTCTCACCTGTTCAGTCGCTGAAGGCTAAGTCTGTAAAACGCGCAGAAAGCGGCGTCTGGGACCCAACGCTGCACTGCCAGGTAAGAAACAACAACAGCATGCATCATCATACACCGGTGGCAGCACGCGTGTGTGCTAGGTGGGGAGCGGTGGTGTAGTGGTGGCAGCACGCGTGTGTGCTAGGTGGGGAGCGGTGGTGTAGTGGTGACAGCACGCGTGTGTGCTAGGTGGGGAGCGGTGGTGTAGTGGTGGCAGCACGCGTGTGTGCTAGGTGGGGAGCGGTGGTGTAGTGGTGGCAGCACGCGTGTGCGCTAGGTGGGGAGCGGTGGTGTAGTGGTGACAGCACGCGTGTGTGCTAGGTGGGGAGCTGTAGTGTAGTGGTGACAGCACGCGTGTGTGCTAGGTGGGCAGCGGTAGTGCTACTGGGACAACACGCGTGTGTGCTAGGTGGTGAGCGGTGGTGTAGTGGTGGCAGCACGCGTGTGTGCTAGGTGGGGAGCGGTGGTGTAGTGGTGACAGCACGCGTGTGTGCTAGGTGGGGAGCGGTGGTGTAGTGGTGACAGCACGCGTGTGTGCTAGGTGGGGAGCGGTGGTGTAGTGGTGGCAGCACGCGTGTGTGCTAGGTGGGGAGCGGTGGTGTAGTGGTGACAGCACGCGTGTGTGCTAGGTGGTGTAGTGCTTGGCGCGCTGCGCTAAGACCCCTGCCACACGAGTTAAATTCCCACTCACGGCCAACATCAGTGACGGTTATTTGAACCCGTCCTGGGCCTCCCCTTGGTCGACTCAGCCTGAAATAAGTACCCCGTGAGGTGTGTAAACATCGCCACTGGGGAGACAGAGGCGGCCGGGGGTGGTTCTGGCCACACCAACTCGTCGTGTACCACGTCGGCCTTCACATGTGCTACTCGCGAATGGAACTTGCCCTAACAGTATATTAAAAGCTATATGGGAGATCTTTGTCTTTTGTTTTGGAGGGTGGCACTACATCTGGGCGACCAGGGTTCGATTCCTTGACGATGTACAAATGCGATGACACGTCTGTATCCGAGTCCGCTCTGGGTCTCCTCTAGGTCAACTCAGCCTTAGATGAGATCCCGGTGCTCTGTGTTGGTTGAGATTCGAACTCGGTTTCTCCGGAATCTGAATATTTATTTACACTCGAGGAATCCGATGAGCTGTAAAGCTCTTTTTCACAGATGTCCAGGTGCGCGAGCCGCTGAGCCGCGCCGCTCCTCCATCACCATCGCAGTGGATAGTCGCGTGGTGCCATTGAGACCCCGGGAGACAAAGGCATCGGGGCGTGGTGCCGGTCACACCCGCCACTCTCTTGCACTACACCGGCGCCAATAGGTGCTCGCTAACAAACGATGCTTATACCCCGGCAGGGAAAGTCTCGTGAATGGAACACGTGTGCGTGATTTGTGCCGACTTCCTTCACTAAATATTGAAACGCTTCAAATTTCGCACGAGCATGCTGAACGCATTGCAGCCCTTTGTCAATCCACTGCTGGATGAAGGCCTGCCCAAGGGGAGGGGGGCGGTTGTCTGACCATACTTAACCACGCTGGTCGGCGCTGGTTGATAAAGGGGGGCGAGAGAGGGGGGGGGGCATCGGGACCGGGTTGGGATCGTCGTGGCGAGGTACGTCGACAACCATGGCACCACCGCTCCCTCCCGCGGTGAGTGACGTCTCGTTGGGCGATGAGCGCGGTCTGTCCGGGCGCTGCACGGGAGATGGAGACACGTGACGCAATAGAAAGGTAGTTTTGTCTTTGTCAATTACTGCACGGGAGGAAGCTATCATTGTGCACCTCCGAATGTTGCGGTTGGCTACGTACGATGCAAAAGAAGTTCAGCATTTGTGCATACATTTGTTTTGCGTAATGCGTGTTGTATATGCGCATTCGGCCACTATGTATTTGTCAGGCATGTACGATGCATGGGCTACCTTGGTGGTCACCCATGGGTTAATGGAGGCACGCATCCAAGGAAAATCGTCTTTCCTTCAATGCTTAAATATATATTTTTGGCTTACTAGACCTCATAAAAAATGTAAACACTTTTCGCAAATGTTATGTATCTTTTTTTCATTTACTTTGTAGTACCTTGCAGTACTCAACATAATAATCCTCGCACTGCTGTGTGAAGTTGCACACTGTCCGGGTTTGACACGTTTAAATGGCTGTGTGTGATGGTGAGCCAGTTGAGGCGAACATTTCGTCTTCGTGTGACTGGCTGTGTTTTGGTGGTGCGGTAAAATGTGAGTAATCCCTACGTGTGTGAAGCAGTCTGGCTGGCAAGGTAGCGTTCACGCTTTTGGATGGCTGATTAATTAGCGCACTGCCACTTAGCGGAGCCAGAGCGGGGTGGTGTCTGATTATGTAAGCATGGTGACCGATAACGCTATTGATTATCGGTTCCATTATTCAACGAATCGGATAACATGAGAAGATTTGAAAAATATACGTCTCGCCTCTGTACCAAGTGTGCCTCTGGACGGGTGGTGATAGACGGGGCTTGGTGATGGACAAAAGTATTATCGGGTACGTCACGCTGCTGGGCGTGGCTTTATCGGGGTTTCCAGCCTTCGGGTGGGCAGGATAGTTGGGGCGACGGCGATTTTTAAAGGGGCTTCAGTAATCGACAACAAAACAATCTGTTGCGAATTTTAATGGACGGAGAAGGCCACGTGACCGTTAAGAAAAAAACAACAAACGTGCATTTTGTAAAAACAAATTTTGGCAGAATTGTTGGTTCCTTGTTTATCCGTTGCGCTGCACTGGGTCAAGAGCTATACGCGGAATATCAATATATAAAAACATTTAAAGAAATCTCAAGTATTATTCTTATGTAAGTGGGAATGCACCGAGCTGTCTCCAGAAGAAGGGGATGTTGGCTGACGGTAAAGAATAATCACGGAGTGTCAGACCAAGGGCCAACCGAGGAGATGGAGCGATGAAATCTGCTCGTGCGTAGGGCGGATTGTTGCAGTGCATGATCATGAGAGTTGGCGGCAGCTTGGGGAGGATTTCATCCAGCAGTAGATTGACCATTGCCGATTGTGAGGGAGATACTGATGTATGTACTATGAGCGGTGTTGCAGCCGTAAGCACACTGCTGCACGACCAACTCGGCCACCCGAGTTCGATTCCCGCTCACGGCCACCAACACCAGTGATAATTATCTGAAGCAGTCCCGGACATCTCCTCGGTCGACTCAGCCTCAAATAAGTACCTGGTTTTGTGTGTAAACATCGCCACTGGGGAGACAAAGGCTGTCGGGCGTGGTGCTGGCCACTCACCCCCTCGTGTGCCTTGCAGGCCTTCATAGGTGCTGGCTAACAGAACTTGCCCCAACAGTCTGTTAAGGCTGCACGGGGGATCTCTGTCGTCATACTATGAGTTGACCTACTAAAGTGCAGCAATGGTGGCTTTGTGGAGTCAGCTGACTTGCCGCTGGTGTTTCATCAGCGGTGAGTTTCGAGTCTGTCGCCCGTGGAGTGTTATGTTCTTGGATATATTACTGCTGGACTTCTGTGAAAAAGAGCTTTATAGCTCATCGGATTCCTTCAGTATTATTATTTAAAAAAATCAGATTTTGAGATTGGATGTATGGGCTTTCCCCACTCCATCCCATTAACTGCAGTTCCCTCTCTCGATGAATAAACGCCAAGCGGCCAGCAACAAATGGCACCGATGAAGGGTATAATCACCACGAGTTGATACATTGCTTGGGTTTAATTGAGTAAATAAAGGAGTGGGAGAAAAAGAGGAGAATTATTCACGTTTTCACTGATCCACATTAACACACACACATTATTTTACAAACATTTTAACGCTCGACCCTCTTGAAAACCAAGTCTTCAGAATCGGCCAAGTTTACCCTGATGAATAAATGGCATCGCTCATTATTGTTATTGTTAATAATTCATCAGCTTGTGAACAGCCAGACGCACACCCACGTTTGCACAAATGTTGCTTCGTTTGCAATCCGTCTTTGTCGTTTTTATGAATTAAGTGCTTTCTTGTGGCTGAGGCTAAACCCCGCTGAACTTTTAATAAAACTCTGCTCTGTTTGCCTTTTCATATTAAAAGATTACATTCCGGCGACATGTTCCGCAGTGAATGTGCAAGTGAGGGCTGGAGGGATTGGAGAGGCATTGTGCAGGCAGGGTGTGGAGATGACGAGAGGGAGGAAGAGGCTGGCTCCTGTAATACCATAATTACATCCTTATTAAATACAATAACGGCGCTAAGTAGACTGCAGTGCGCCTCCCGTCGTAAGCCAGCATGTGTTCGTATCACTAATGTTGATGAAACCCGATTTCAAAACATGAAATATCTATGGGACCTTTTTTGCCAGTATCAGAACGCCAAAAGTGGAACAGTATTAAGGCAATGCAAGTATCAAAGCATTAAAGCTCGGGTTGAGCAGTTTTATCGATGAGACCTGTACTAAATCTTGACTTAAAGCTTTCGTGACTGCAGGAATTCATATTCTTTGGGTCTTTCGGTAAAGTCGCGTAGATAGGTTCAAATTAATACAAATAAAATTAACAAAAAACTACGACGAAAACCTGGCACAAGGCAGTGAAAACCTGGCACGCGGCAGTGAAAACCTGGCACGTGACAGTGAAAACCTGGCACACGGCAGTGAAAACCTGGCACGTGACAGTGAAAACCTGGCACGTGACAGTGAAAACCTGGCACAAGGCAGTGAAAACCTGGCACGTGACAGTGAAAACCTGGCACACGGCAGTGAAAACCTGGCACACGGCAGTGAAAACCTGGCACGTGACAGTGAAAACCTGGCACGTGACAGTGAAAACCTGGCACAAGGCAGTGAAAACCTGGCACAAGGCAGTGAAAACCTGGCACAAGGCAGTGAAAACCTGGCACAAGGCAGTGAAAACCTGGCACAAGGCAGTGAAAACCTGGCACAAGGCAGTGAAAACCTGGCACAAGGCAGTGAAAACCTGGCACAAGGCAGTGAAAACCTGGCACGTGACAGTGAAAATCTGGCACGCGACAGTGAAAACCTGGCACGCGGCAGCGAAAACCTGGCACGCGGCAGTGAAAAC